AAGTTATTGTATGAAGATGAAAGAATAATGCTTCTTAAAAAAATGAAATTACAAAAACATCTTCCTGAATTAAATTCTTTAATAGAAAATTTATAATGCCAAATATTTCGAAAGAATCACAAAAAATTGAAATAATGAAAAAAGAAGAGATAATAGTAAGAAAATGGAATGATATGGGGAAGAACGTTATTTCCCTTATTTCCCTTTTTTTTTTATTGATAAGAAAAAAATTTTTGAAAAATTTTTTTTATTTCCATATTTTCTGATTAAAGAACTGATATAAGGAAAAGTGTGGAAAGTTAAATTTTAATTTCTTTAACAACTGAAAAGAATTTTGCAACAATGAAGTAAGAAAAAATATCGAAGCTAAAACAAATATTTTCGATCAGCAGCATATTTGAAATTTTAAAACCAAACTTTCTCTTCATGTTATTTTCATTTTCAACATAAAATATTTTCTTAAATTTTAATTCAATCTGCTAAAATCTAAGAATTATTGAAAAAAAGTTCAGCTTGTGAAATTGCCAGTAAAAAAATTATAAACACATGGTAATTTAATTAATTAAGGACAAAATTAAGTCTAGCAACTAACAATACAGCGTCATTTATTTCTTGCCATCCTTTGCTATAAGACCAAAAATTAAAATATGGTAAAAAAATCCACCAAATTTTTATTGGAAGTTTAAAGACGAGTAAATCTGTTCTGGAATTATTAAAGTAATAGCATGGAAATTAATTAAGTTAGCTAAGTAACCTCTTGGCTAAATGAGTTTATCGTTATGAAGTAGTATCTTTCGCATTTTAAGCAAATCCTTAAATCTAAATTTCTGTTAAACAATTTATTGTTCGATAAAATTGCTTATATTTATTTTTAAATAAATTTTATGATAAATTTGCAAAAATTTCTTTAATTTTAATTTATCACTAAAATTTAAACTTTGCATCGTTGTCCTTGTTGATATAAGCTTTAGATTTTAGTGATAGCTAAGAATGGAGGAAAATATATTTATTAATGTTAAATGAATATTTTCATTCATTGATTTCATTTTGCATAAAAATTACGAAATATTAGGGGAAGGAAAAATTCTTTTTCATATGATTTAATTAAACGTTAAAATAAATTTTAAAATATTTTTTTAATCATTAAAAAATATATTAATAGTCAAAAAAAAAAGGTAACGTGAAAATAAAATGAACCAATTAAAGGTGATAGCAATTAGTATTAGTAACATACCTTAAGACGATAATTTAACCGTGCTAATGCTTCGATGAAAAAATCACCACCTTTATTTGTAAATTCATAACGTCCAGCAGTAAAAAGATATATCGTTTTATCCAAATTAAAATCATAATGTCTGAAAATACAAATTATCAAATATTGTCTTTTCCTATATTTTCTAATGATAGCCAAATTTTATATTACTGGATATGTAACCAGAAAATATTCCGAAAATTTTACGCAAGAAGTTGAACAGATTTCATTACGTAAAATTTCCGAAATGATTTTCCTCGTCATGCTTCTATACTCCTCAATATTACAAAATTCATATATAAGTATGAATTTTGTAAGAAACAAAAATGCACATACCAAATACTTTTCATCTAATCATATAAAATTCATAAAATATCAATTTAAAATTTCAAAAAATCATTTTACATTTTATTATTAAAAGGATGTAATTTTAAATAAATAATAAATCATAACCCATAAAAATGTCCACGGATAAAATCGTGAATTTTCTCTTTAGCAATTGAATGCAAATTTTGAAATTCATGTAAAGCTGCAAATTTGATCACATTCAAACCATTTGGTGTTAAAATATCCGGCTTTCTTTTAACCAAATGTGTTGCTTCAAGACCTGTTATTTCACTGCAATTAAAAAGAAAAATCTATTAATTTAAATTTTCAAATAAGAATTAAATTTCATATTTTTGAAAACAAATTTAAGCGTTTACTTCTTTTTTTTTTTACTTATCAATATTGTTGTAATGGAAAGAGAAACGTAGAATATGATCAAAAGAAATGTCATAAAAAAAATGTTAGAAGTAAAAAACAAACTTTGTTTAATTCATTTAAATATTGAACAATAGAGAAATATGTATACAAAAATTTTTAAAATGATAAATGATTATTGCTAACCTTACAGTTGTAAAAATATGTGCTAAGTTAGCTGCTGCTCTTTCAATACAATATCTATGATAAATTTGGCGTATTCCTGCTTCTCGATCAACATCAAACTGAAAATTTTAATTTTATTTAATTATTGAAAAAAAAAAGAAAAAAACAACATTTCATTATTACTCTATTATTTCTTAGTTTTTAATATTTCATTCTAATTGAATAAAATGAATTCAAACAATTATTTTTCTCTCTTTTTTTCTACAATTTTATTTAATTTATGCAGCACGGTTATTATTCAATCTTTAAGATTGAATTATGATATCAGTATGAGCATGATTCATTTCAAGTAACAAAATAAAATGATACAACTACGAAATAATATTTAATCCTATTATAGATAATACTATAATCAAACATTTAACTGATCCTATCAGTGAATGAAAGGGCATTATTAAATATAATCCGATATATTCTTTCGGCGAAAAAAAAAATTGGAAGTGATAAGAATTTCAAACTTTATCAATATTATTGTATAGATCTGCACCGGAAGCACAAAGATATCTGCCAAGTAAGGTAGCATGTGTTGTAAAAATTGTTGAAACATCTGTCTTCCATAGTCTAAAATAGCAAATTATTAATTTGAACGTGATATATTTTAAGATATTTTCTAAAAAAGAAAACTTAAATAAATTATTTATGCATAAATTTTAATACTTGAAAAAGTCTTAAAGAGAAGAAAAATGAATACACTTCATTTCTTAATTAATTTATTACTGAAAAGAATGATAAAATGGCGGAAACATTTTGGAGTAAAAATTACTAATGAAAATTTGCGAATTTTTAATTTTTATAAAATAATAATTATTACCTCGACAAAATAAGACCAATACCAGCTTGCCATTCATGAAAATGAGCTATACACAATGGTTGATAATCTTCGATTGCATATAAATACTATAATA